GCGCGTGTAACTCCATTCCGTCGACAGTTTCACGCTTCGCAGTTCCACAGAGCCGCGAGGTCTCAACGTGGCTGCGGCGCAAGCAGGACGAATGAGAAGAGAAGAAAGCAGTGTCTGCGTGTCCCCCCACTCCGCTGCACCAGGAAGTGGGAGGCAGGAGCGGGATGGAGGAGGCAAGAGGGGGAGGAGGAAGGAGGTTGGAGAGCGCAGTGCGCTATTTACAACGAGATCCCAATGCAGGAGGGTTGGGACAAACGGGGCTCTCACCTGAGATGCCCTCAACACTACTGTCCCGAAGTGGGAGTTGGTTGCAACATTTGCACGCGTGGAGGACGGATCGTTTGTTTTTTTGTCAGTGGGCTCTCGCTGGACGTGTCGTTGAGTTGTTTGATGCTGCCTGTGCGCACCACTTAAGTATTAGGTGCACTCATGCTGAACACTACGTTCTTCCAAACGGGGCTCTCGCCTGAATGGTAGGCCCATGAGCGCCTGCCTTTCGAGGGGGTGGTTGAGCTTCCCGTGGTGAAGAGGATGCCAGAGGGAGAGATTGATGAGGGACAGACTCGCGACGTGTGTGTGTGTGTGTGGTTTGTGTGTATGCGTGTAGCGCAGCTTGTTGCTCTACACGCGACTGCCACCATCCAGTCCACCCATCCCCTTACGCCAGGTGAAAATTCGCCTGAACGTGACCCTGCTTAGCGCTGCTCAAGTGCGCCGCCACCTCTCCGTTGGAGGAAAAAGTGCGTGCGTGCGTGCGTGCGTCCGTGCGTACGCGCGCGCGTGCATGTGTGTGTGTATGTTTGTGTGTGTGCATGTGTGGGGAGGGGGGGGGCGGACGGGGTGGGAGGGTGGGGGGGTGTCCGTGCGCCTTTTATATGTCTCCCCTCTGGCTCTGCCTCACCCCATTTTTGGTAGTGACGGCGCTTGTCTGGCTGGGTGGCCAACTCGCCGCGCTCGTCTTGCCCTTATAGCTGCACGGCGGATAGTTGTTGTTCATCTTTGTCCATCCTTACAGTTTGTTCTTGTGACGTGACAGCCGCTACGTTTATGTTGGCACTTTTTGCGTGCAAGTCTTGTCGCTCGTGCACCTCATTTCCAGCGTTTGACGCATAGCGCGCAGTCGATGACGCGGTTTCTCTTTGGGGCACGCTGTGGTGGTGTTGCCGCGCGTCTTTGGCCTCCAGCACCCATCATTGTGGCTGCTTCGCGCTGCTGGTTTGTAGGTCTACACCTTACCCATATGCCTCGCAGGACCGTGCGACTGCTTGTCGAGCAGCATTGAACATTTTTCCCTGCGTTTCAATATCTCACACCGCTCTGGTGATTCAACGGTCGCCAATTAGCTCCAGGCTGCGCGCTTCAGTTCACTATGAGTTGAGTATAATCCTCGTTTTCTGGCCGCTACATGTTTCGTTTGGACCTACAGTTCCTCTAACGCACCCATCGCCTGCATTTTGCAGTGTTCGAGGCTTCGTACGCTGCGCCGTCGACAATGCTCGATCGCAGTTAGCACCTCCATCAGCTGCTCGCGCTTAAGGCGCCGCTGACTCAAAAGTATGTGTGCGTGTGTGTTTGTTTGTGTGTGTGTGTGTCTGTCTGTCTGTCTGTGTGTCTGTGTATGTGTGGGCGCGCTTGCTCGACGGGTTCTGCGCCGCGCCGCCGCGCGCGTGACCGCCACGTCAAAAGTAGGTCTTTCTCTGTGTGTGTGGGTGTGCGTGTACGTGTGTGTCTTCGGGCCCGAGTTTCCACCCCAAGCCGCCGCGCGCGTGGCCGCGACGCCCAAAAGCAGTGTGCGTGTGTTTGTGTGTGTGCGTGTGATAGAGAGGGTGTGTGTGTGTGTGTGTGCGTGCGTGTGCATGTGCGTGCACATGTGTGTGTGTGTGTTCCGATGATTCTCAAGCACACGTGTGTGTGTGTGTGACCGTCGGTTGGTTCAGGCCCAGGCTGCCCCAGGCGGGGTGAAGGGGCGCGCGGCGGGGCGGCCGCAGCTCCGCCATGCTTCCGCGGCAACGCGGGTTCGGCGGCGCGCAGGCACGCCCGCAGGCGCACCCGGCCCTGGAGCACCGCGTCGCCTACGTAGAGGAGCTCGTGCGCGACGAGCAGGCGCAGCTCCTCGTCGTCGTCGTGCTGGTGGTCGTGGTCGTGGTGGTCGTGGTCGTGGTCGTGGTCGTGGTCGTCGTCGTCGTCGTCGTGGTCGTCGTCGTCGTCGTCGTCGTCGTCGTCGTCGTCGTCGTCGAGGTCCGTCGTCGTTGCTCGTGTGGGACGGGCAGGCGCAGCTCGTGCAGTTCAGTTCGGACATCAACGCCGCGTTCCGGCACCTCGACGAGGCCCGACTGCCCGACCTCGAGGCAAGCGCGGCGCAGCAGCAGGAGGAACCGAGGAAAAAACAACGGTTCCCATTCCTCCTCCCCTTCCTCCTCCTCCTCCTCCTCCTCCTCCTCCTCCGCCTCCTCCTCCTCCTCCTCCTCCTCCTTCGCCTCCTCCTCCTCCTCCTCCTCCTCCTCCTCCTCCTCCTCCTCCTCCTCCCCCTCCTCCTTCTGCCGCTCTTCCCCCCTCCATAGAGGAGCTGCGGCAGCTGCGTGCGCAGCAGCAGCAGCTGCTCGAGGGCCTGGCGCCTGCGGCGCTGCGCTCGGAGCAGCTGGCCGCCGAGCTCGCGGCGCTGCGCGCTGAGCACACCGCGCTGCGGCGCGAGCACGAGGCGCTGCGCTCGGAGCACGGGGCGCTGCGCGACTGCCTCCTCGGCTGGGCGCCGCTCGCGTCCGAGGTCGAGCATCGTCGTTGAACCGATCCCCTGTCCCCGCCGGCGTCGCCATGGGCCCCCCTCAGGCTTCGAGGGGCCTCTCTGTCCCCAACGGGGGTGGGCCCTGTGGGGAGGGGGATGGGGAGAGGTTAGGCCAGAAGCAGTGGATGGATCTCGTCGCCCTGGAGAGGTGCGCGCACGGGCTCGGGCCCGCGAGGGCTTGAGCGCGCTGCGCGGCGCACTCGAGAGTGCCGCCGTGGCCAGCGGGGTCCTCCCGGGTGCTGCCAGAGGGGTCCCCGGCCCAGGGTGCCCCCAGGATGCCGGGGCCTGGCACCGCTCGGACGAGTGCATTTTTTTCCTCGGCGAGCATCCTGGGTCATCGAGCGGAAAGTGCACGCACGAGGCCGAACAAGGCACGGGGAGGCGGCGCCCGAGCGCCCGCAAGCGGGGAGGCCCAGCTGCCGGGGCAGGCAAAGAGGTGCCGACTCGGCCCCGGGGCCCTGCCCTCGTCCCCGCGGCCGGGTTCGCCTCGAGGCTGGTCCAGAGCGCGCCCCTGCAGATCAAGCAGTGGCAAAGCTTCCTGGCGTGCCAATAGGGCTACCAAACAATGTTCTGAGAACCTTTTGTGGTCTGCGTGAAATGTTCTTAGAACATGTCTGGCTGGGGCTGTCTTGTTTTAATGCATCGCGTTTCTGTTCTAAGAGCATTGTTTTTTATTCGAACATTTTCGGGTTCTACGAACATTCCGTGGTAGGCCTATAGAAATGCATAGAAATGCCGGGACGGTCGGTCCCCGCTCAAGCAGAGGCCTGGGGAGTGGCGGTATCGGTGCCTTTTTTACATAACGACCACAACGATGTTAAGTTAGGTTTGGGCCATCGTTTTGATTTGTTTCGCTCTGTTTTTCATGGTGCTTCTATGGTGCTGTTCGTTGTCGTTGTAAAAACGCGCTTGGATTTTGGGTTAGGAGGGGACACAGACTTTGTCCCCTCCCGGGATGGCCTCCAGAACGAGGCCCAGGGGGCCCCAAGGCTCTGGAATGGCGCGAGGAACTCGGGACACATTGACCTGACTCCGGATCCGCCCCGCTGTGGGCGATGTCGCAAGTAGGGCGGGCATTCCCGCCCCACTTCTGAAGCTCCTCCGATGGCGGTGTCCGCCCTGCTTTGCCGTTGCTGTTTCCGCCACACCTCTGGAGAAATGGCCGCCCTGTCTCGCTGAGGCGGACATTTCCGCCATATCGGTTCGCATCTGTTGGGGGCGTTTCCAGCACGGTTGCCGGCAGGAAAATCGCATCCGACGTGCATGGCGGATCTAGAGTCAGGGGAGAGGGCCCCAGGGGCTCCTGGAATTCGGCGGCGATCCCGGGGGGAAGTGAGACGGGGCAGGCCTTCTTCGGCAGCAAATCATGGGAGCCTTGTGTACCCGCTTAATTCTGTCTCTAGCGCCGATTCGCGTCGATTAGCATCTGGGAGTCGGTGAGATAGCGCCGGTTTAGCGTCGGCTAGCGTCGATCAGCGTCGACCTGGTGTCGATGAGCGCCGATTTAGCGTCGACGAGCGTCGATTCGCAAGAGCCGACAAGATGGTATGGGAGGCTCCCACGAGCTGCCGCAGGAGGCCTTCTCAGAAGGCTCGGAAGCCCCTCCCTCCCCCCGATCTCAAGGAAAGAGCTTGGGACACCTGTCGAGCAGGGGATCGACTACAGAGTCGATTGACCCCAGAATTGATTTACCGTCGAATCTACGAAACATACCCACAATGCTCCGTAGATCTACAGTTGAAACCCATGCCAAGAAACACCCTGCTTGCCTCCAGGGTGCCCTGGGTTTCTTGGGTTTCGATGGTTTTGCTGTGGAAGGCGCGACGCTCCCACACCAAAAATCTATGGTTGGGTTTCTTGTGGAAGGTCTCTGGTGGTCGGGCTCCTACTGTACTGGCCCCTCTGCGCCTTTGCCTCATGGCCTCGACGAGAAAAACTCAGTTCTGGGGCAGATCAATTCTGTAGTCGATCATAGTCGATCCCATACTCGAATCAGGAGGAATCAGAACACACAGACACGATGAATCATCGAGTCCCCAGGACAAGATGGGAGACTGTGGGAAGTGGGGGGGAAGACGAAAACCCAGACAAGATGGGAAAATGTGGGGAATCTGGGGACCTGTGTGTACATTTGGTTGCGTGCCCCTGGGCCCCTTTCTCGAAAGGAAGGCGGCGGCGCGCCTCTGCCAGCCTTTGCGCCCCTCCCCAGAGGCTGCACCGCTCTGCTCCCTGCGGCGAGGTGCCCGCGGCGGCGGGCGCCGCACCGGGGGGGGGGAGGGCCGGGCACCGGGTTACGTACGTCGGGCGGGTCCCGCGGGAGGAAGATTCAAGAGCAGTCGAACAAAAACAGAGCGGGGACGATGTCCCCGCCGTTCCTTGACCATCTCTGAACAAAGAAATTGAGTATGTTTTCTTGCGAAGGCCTTACGGCCAGTGCCGCCGACCCTGAATGACGACGACGACGACTATGACGACGACGACGACGACGACGACGACGACGACGACGACGACGACGACGACGACGACGACGACGACAAGCGCTCTCGGGGGCCTCTTGGGGGTAGTTTGGGGGCCTCTTCAGAAGCTCTTGGGGGCCGCTTGGGAGCCTCGTGGGGGCCTCTTGGGGCTTCCTGGGGGTCTCTTGGGGGCCTTTTGGGGCCTCTTAGAGCTTCTTAGGGGCCTCTGGGGGCTTCCTGAGAGCTTCTCAGGCCGAGGGATCGAAATGGCCGTTCGGGTCCCCCGTCTGGGCTTCCTCGTGGAGCCGTTTTGGGGGCCTCCTTGGCTGTCTTGGAGGCCTCTTTGGTGGTCTTGGGGCCCTCTTGGGTCGTTGTTGAACCCTCTTGGAGGCCTCTTGAGCCATCTTGGGGCGGTCTTGGAGGCCTCTTGGCTTGTTTTGGAGCGTCGGGAAGCTGACAAGGCGAGAATGCGGAAATCTTTTGGGAAATCGTCTTGGAAGTCCTCTTGGAGGCCTCTTGGGGTGTTTTGGAAACCTTTTGAGCCGTCTGGAGGTTACTTTGGCGACTTGGACCGACGATACTTCGGCGATTCGGAGCCCTCGAAGACCGTCCTGGGGACATATTCGGGCACTTTTGCCGCGTCTTGGTGCTTTTCTGGGCCCCCGAACCGCCCGGGGAGTCGCATCTGCCCCGGGACCCCCCCCTGGACCCTCCCCCTGGCGGGGAAGGGATCAAACGAAAGGGGCTTCCCTTCGGCTCAACTACAACGTCGCTCAATTTCGCCGTGGCTGGCGCGCTCGAGGAGGAGGGCCCGGTGAAAGTGGGAGAGGGCGGCGACGGGCTCAGGGGAAGAGGGGGGAGTGGCGAAGGCGACGACGACGACAACGAGCGCGACGACGACGACGACGAGTTAAACGGAACAGCCTCTCCCACACGCCGACAGGGTCGGCGGACTTTTCCTCCAAGATCCGCCAGTTGGAGAGTACGCCCGACCTGAGCACAGAGGGGGGGAGAGAGGCGGTCCGCGCCCCGGTCGGAGGCCGCGCGAGGGCGGGGGGGCACAGTCCAAACTTGTGAGTCTTCATCGGCGACTGCAGAGGATGTGGTCGCGCCAGGGTGTGGTGTGCGATCGGCGCCCTTGGGGCCCGGGGGGCACGGTGATGTCCTCGTCGGGCCTCCTCGGGGCGCGGCGGAGAGCTCTGTCGAGGTCCCCGCCCGCCCCCCCAGGGTGCAGCCCGGGGTGCCGGTTGCAAACCACACCCTTCGCTAGCCACACCCTCCGAAGTCGCTGAAGTAAGGACGCAGGACTCGTGGGGGAGATCACTTGTAGGGCAAATCCATTCTGTGGTCCATCCCCCGCTCGGGCCCTGGGCCGGGACCACTCCTGGCAGCACCCGAGCCGTCGGGGCCGCCGGCGACCGCGGCGCTTGCCTGGCGCGGCTGGCGGCGGGCTGCCGCGCGCTGCGGGGGTGTGCGCGCCGCGCGGCCGAGGGCGGCGCGGGCCGCGACCTGGACGAGGCGGTGTGGGACGCGGTGCCGGCGTTCGAGCCCAGCGAGGCCGGGCTCCTCCTCCTCCTCCTCCGGCCGAGCCGGGGGCCATCGCCCACCGAGCCAGTAGTCATCTACGTCCACCAGTCGGCCGCTCCCCAGGACTCCAGGCGATCGGGAGGTTGAATCGCCGAGTCAAGTGGGAGATGAGATCCCAGTGAATGATTTCGAGGCTGACGAAGCGGCCGCAGCAGAACTAGGACTTGACATCGATCTAGATATTATGTAGCGTCTCCCCTCCCTCCCCCGTTGCAGCCAGCTACGCAGCTCGAGCACCTGCCTGCGCACGCGCCTTGCGAGTTACGGGGACATAGCTCCCTGTGCGACGGTATTTCTTCAGGAATGGTGGTATAGCCACCAGAGTCCTTCTTGTCAAGCCTCCAGCCGCACATATAGGCAGAACCTCTCCTCCTCCTCCTCCTCCTCCTCCTCCTCCTCCTCCTCCTCCTCCTCCTCCTCCTCCTCATTCTCCGGCTTTCGAGCTCACCGAGGCCAGGCTCCACGTTTCTCTATCGAGGAAGAAGCGCCATGAACATCAATTTTTAGCGCTCCGCGCGGATTTCTTGGATCCGCGCTGGGCGCCCCCCTGTCGGCTCCTCCAGCGCCGCCCGCGCGCCAGGGAGGGGGATTCAGCGCAGATGCAAGAAATCCGCGCGGAGCGCCACAAGTTTATGTTTATGCAGTTGTTTTTTTCTTTCTCTTCTTCTTCTTCTTCTTCTTCTTCTGATTATTCTTATCTAGGCCTCCCAGGTGGGGTCCGAGTAGATGGGGTCGGAAGATCGCGCCGCGTCGCCGATGCATCGGCGATGCGGCTCGATGCGGAGCCCGATTTGCTGCACGTCGACGTCGCCGATACATCGCCCACGTCGACGCTGCGTCGCCGGTGCATCGCCGATGCATCGCCGATGCATCGCTGATGCATCGCCGATGCGGCGCGATCCTCCGACCCCATCTACTCCGACCTCCGATCCCATCTAGGAGGCTTTTACACATTCAGGAGGGGAAACACAGACACAACTCATCGTCGACACAACGGGCGTTTTCGCTCGATTGCGGGCCCCCGGAGCCTCACATATCGATCTGGCTCGAAAAATGGCGCAAAGAGATGGGGTCCTGGGTTCTGGTTGGAATTCGTTGCGATGTTTCAATTTTATTGCAACGTCGGATCTCAGGAGTTCCCCGGTAAACGTGGAAAATATGGGACGTGGAGCGGAAGAGGAGCATCCAGAAGATATGGAACATATAGGGAAGCATGGGCTTTCCAGCACACCGAGGCCAGGCTCCACACAGTCGGAACGAGGTACAAGATCGAGGCCGGTTCGGGGAGGGTACCTTAATATTTGTCGTGCTTGTTGGAGGTTCTTGTGCGTCCTGGGGAGGGGACCCTTGGATGTTCTGTGTGCTTTGGCCGGCGGAGGGTCTGGTATTCTTTAGGGATGTTCTTCTGGACCAGATCCGATTGTATTCAGGAGAGGTCAAACACAGACAAAAATCATCGCCGATCCCTGAGTTCCTGGCGTTATTTTTTACGACGGTCGTTTTCGCTCGATTGCGGGGCCTGGGGCCCTCACAGATCGATCCGGTTTGAAAAATGACGCAAAGAGGTGGGGTCCGGGGCTCCGGTTGAATTTTTTGCGATGTTGCATTTTGTGCCATGTTGGTCCTCAGGGATTCCCCAGTAAACGTGGAAAATGTTGGACGTGGAGGGGAAGAGGAGCATCCAGAAGATATAGAAAATATGGTGAATCCTGGGGTTGTGTCTACTCGGAAGAGGAAAGGTACCCATACCGCTATCCCTGCCTCGTTTTCCACGTTCTGTGCCTCTTGGGAGGCCCTCGTCACCACCGCCGGATTTGCTTCGAGATTCTGATCAGAACGCACCCCGCGAGAGGTCCAGGGAGTAGCGGTATCGGTACTTTTTGGTTTCCCCACAAGCTTCATATTCAGGAGGGGAATGACCACAGACACAGAACATCCTCGATTTCCAGGTAAACGTGTAAAATATGGGACGTGGAGATGAAGAGGATCATCCGGAGGATACGGAACATACGGGGAAGCCCAGGCTTTCGAGCCCACCGAGGCCATGCTCCATAGGGGGGGACAAACATACAGACACAAATCATCGTCGATTCCCCGGCAAGCGTGGAACACATGAATGGGAAGCGGAGGGGAAAAGAGGAGCATCCAGAGATCTGGGAAATATGGGGAATCTTGGGATTCTGTGTCTACTCAGAGGAGGAAAAGGTACCCATACTGCTACCCCTGCCTCGTTTTACCCTTTCTGGGCCTCCTGGGAGGCCCCACCGCCAGATTTGCCTCCAGATTCTGGTCAGAACGCACCCCGGATCCCCGGGAGAGGTCTGGGGAGTAGCGGTATCAGTATAGGCACCAGCTTTCGATCCGATCGGTCCGAGTCGACATTGGCTCTCGCCAGCTCGATCCGATTCGATTCCGATGTGCGGGCTGATGTTCGCACGGCGCTGCTGTGCATCCCGGCGCGGCCGATTCGATTCGGTTCCGACTCCGCGCCGATGCGTCCCGATCCGATGCCCACGTCGATTCGATTTGGCTTCCCGATTCGATGCCAACCGATCCTGCCGAGGCGGTCCTGGAGAGGTGGTCCAGCAGCGACACCGTGCAGGGCGTCCTGCCAGGTGCATTGGGAGGGCCAGTCACCTCGGCGGGACCCCTCGTCGCCATGGCGGTACGCAATCCGCAAAGCTACATGACCACCGCCTGGAGGGTCAGTTTTCGGAGCCTCAGCAGGCGGTGGACATGGACAAATTCGGGCCCCCGGGGACCGAAATATATCCATATCCACCGCCCGCTGGGGCACCAGGGCGTCGGTTCCCAGGCGGTGAATATGGGTAAATCCCTGCCTCGCACTGGTGCGTTCGGACCCCGGGAGGGGTCCGGGGATCGATGCGGAGTTGCCGCATTGTCTCCGCTCGCCCTGCTCTGGCCAGGTGTGCGGGCGAAGGCCGTCGTCGGCCTCTCCGACACCCTCAGCTTCGGGGACGTGCACGCGGTGCTGCAGCAGCTCGGGGTGCAGCTGGACCACTTCGTGGACACCTTCGCCCGCATGCCGAGCGCCGCGGGCGGCCGCGACGAGAGGGAGCTGATGGTGGGCATCGTTCAACCGATCCCCATCCACATCCCCATCCCCTTCGAGAGCCCGACCAAATTACACCCCTCGAAACCCGAAGGGAACGGCCCATATCCCCATCTAGGGGGGTGAATCGGCCAGTGGGGCCCAGGCCACGCCGCTGGGGATGGGGGTCGGATGAACGATACTCAGGGCATGGCGGACAGCATCCTCAGGAGGTTCGCCTCCGAGGGGCGCGGGGCAGACGAGGGCGTGAGCGGCACGCCCGCTGGGCAGCGCGGCACGCTGAGCTGCCGAGACCTGTTCCGGCTGCTGGAGGTCGTGGGCGTCTCTCTCAAGAGGTTCAAGGCGATGGTGACCGGGGTCGAGGAGCTGGAGGACGAGGCGAGCCCCTCGTTCGTGCAGGTGGGCAGCTACAACCTGCTGCGGCAGCTGGGCTCGGGCTCCAAGGGCGTGTGCTGCTGGCTGGGGGAGCACGCCGTCAGCGAGGCGAAGGTGGCCATCAAGTGGCCCGTGAAGGCCGCGGAGATGGAGGTGCTCCGGGACCTCGGACGGCACGACGCTTGTGGCGCGCCTCGCATGCTGGGCGCGCCCCGGCTGCTGGACTCGGGCGTGCACGGCGGCAAGGAGTACGTCGCCATGGAGCTGCTCGGCTCGACGCTCTCCAAGGTGTTTCAGGGCCTGGCGGCGCGGTCGTTCCGGCACCGGTGGCGCGGCGTCTGCGCGATCGGCAGGAGTCGAGGGGCAGGAAAAAGGCAGGCGCACAAATTGTGGGAGCTCCGCGCGGATGTATTTGGATCGGCGCCTGGGTCCCCCTTGGCGCGCCTCTGGCGCCGCCCCGGGCGCGCTCCGCGCTTCCTCTAAGGATGCCAGCGTGCATTTTTTACGCAAGCCCAACGATCCCACACGACCGACTTACGCATGCAGGCCTAATTTGGCCTCCCAGAGTCTCCAGAGAATCACAGGCAGCCCAACACAAGCTCTTGGAGCTGCACGCGACTTTCTTGGATCGGCGCCTGGGTCCCCCTGGCTGCGCCTTTGGCGCGCCAGGGAGAGGGGCCCAGCCCCGATCCGAGGAATCCGCGCGGAGCGCCGAAAGCTTAAGCCGGTCGTTGAAAGCAGGTATTCTTGCATACCCAGATCCCAATCTATTTTAGTCGCCTCCCTACTTCAAGAGTCGAGCGGTTTTCCCTCTTCCCTCCCTGCCCACTTCTTCCGACCGACGGGTATGTTCGTGCTGCTCTGCTCTTCCAGGATGCTGGTGCGCCGCTTCCAGGCGCTGCACGCCCGCGGGTACGTCCACTGCGACGTCTCTCCAGACAACGTCCTCGTCGGCCTAGCGGAGGTGCCCTCCGGGGGGGGGGGGATCCGGCGCCCGCCGAGCTGTACCTGGTCGACTTCGAGCTCGAGGGCTGCTAAAGGTGCCCTTGGACCCAGGCGCCCTCAGCTTTCTGCTCTATTGTGAAGGCCTCACGGCCGGTGCCGCCGAGGACGACGACGACGACGACGACGACGACGACGACGACGACGACGACGACGCTGGGCCCTGGCGCCCTCAGCTTTTCGCTTTATTTTGGCGTCCCCGGGGCCGTGGAGGCCGTGAGGACCTCTGTGGAAACCCTGGGGGCATCCTTCTAGGCCTCCCAGATGGGGTCGGAGTAGATGGGGGTCGGAGGGTCGCGCCGCATCGCCGATGCATCGGCGAGGCGGCTCGATGTGGAGCCTGATTTTCTCCACGCCGATAGCGCCGATGCATCACCGACGCCGCCGATGCATCACCGATGCATCGCCAGTGCATCGCCGATGCGGCGCGATCCTCCGCCCCCGTCTACAGTCAACTCGCATAGTATTGATGGGCAACCTTCCCAACCGTACCCTTGCATCCTTGCCTCCTCGGTCCATCCTTCGCGACTTTCGTTGGGCGCGCCCCGCTCGAAAAGCGTCGACATGGGCGTCCAAGGCCCTTGCATCCTTATCGCGCATCCTCATTATATGGGTTGACTGCACTCGGACCCCATATAGAGGCCTTCAGCCTTGGGTAGGGGAACGAGAAATGACATAAACATAAAAACTCGGAGGTCCGTGCGGATTTCTTGGATCGGCGCTGGGGCCCCCTCCTTGGCGCGCGGAGCGCGCCAGGGGCGGCGCCGGAGGTGTTGCCAGGGGGCCCCAGCGCCGATCCCAGAAATCCGCGCGGACCTCCGAGTTTTCATGCTTTACGTCATTTTTCGTTCCCCCACTGGGTCCAGGGGGCACCTCTGGCAGCACCCGGCGAGCACACGCGGCGGCACCCCGGCGGCGCGGCCCTGGAGCCCGGCGTCGGCAGCGCGGAGTGGGGCTCCGTGCGCTCGGCCAGCGGCGGGGCGCCGCTGCCGGAGGACTTCGGCAGCACGCAGGCATAGCCCAGTAAGGATCACCCAAGGAGGGTGGCCCTCCCGAGTGACCCTGAGGGTGACCCTTCGGGGCCACCCTGAGGGGTCACCCTGAGGGTGACCCTACTGGTGACCCGAAGGGTGGCCCTAAGGGTTCATCCTGAGGGGTCACCCTCAGTTTGACCCTGAGGGTGACCCTTCGGGGCCACCCGAAGGGGTCACCCTGAGGATGACCCTACTAGTGACCCTAAGGGTCACCCTTCGGCTATGCCTGAGTACCACCTGAGTCGGGGTCACCCTAAGGGTGACCCCGACGCAGGTGGTAACTGGGAGGTGGGGAAACATTATGGTGGGGGCCACGATCTCTCCCAGATCTCGTGGCCCCCTCTTTTTCCCGGAGTGCGTCTCCTGGCCCCTCTTGGGCCGCGCACATGCTGCGGGTCATGATTTGCGACCCCCCCCTTTGGACGCCCCCGACGTTGGCAGCCAGGGGACGTATGGAGCCAGCGGCTTTCTACACCGCCGCTCTCCCTGAAGATACATGCATCGTTCGTCGGAGGTTTATTGTCGCGGCGGCGGTCTTCCAGCCTCGGGATGCGCTCCATCGGCTGCGCCTCGCCGAGGGCGTTCCAGGGGTGGCCGGATCGTCCCGAACGGCCGATGCCGAGCCGAGTTATGTTCCGAAAACCTCGGAGCCCACTTTATGAGCTCGTTGAAGTCGATTTCCCCCCTACTTTGCCGTCGCTGCTTGCGACACACTTTTGCGGAAAGATCCGGCTTCATGTTCTGAGGCGCAAATTTCCGCACCATTGTTTGCATCGTTTGGGGTGCTCGACACAGTTTCAAATCGGTCTTCTTGCCTAGGAATGCGTTCCAGCAGCTGCGCCTCGCCGAGGGCGTTTTGGGGGTGCATGGATGGTCCCGAGCGGCCGCTGAAGGCCCGAGTTATGATCCAGAATCGGAGTGACCCTTCGCCAGAGTGACCTTTGCGCGCGGCTTCCAGGTGGGGCGGAGGGCGGAGGCCATCTGGGCCTCCCCAGAAATTCTGGGGACCCGGGATCCCTTGAGCCAGGGTCACCTCTGGCAACGCCCGAAGTGCCACCCTTTTACGGGCCGCCTGGGAGGACGACCTAGAGGCCTTGGGGTGGGTGCTGCTCCACGGGCTGTTCGGCTCCCTGCCGTGGAACGCGTGGCTGCAGGTCGCCTACAGGCACGGGGACTCCAACCTGACCAGGCACCAGGTGAACCGGCAGGTGCGGCTGGCCAAGATGCAGATCTCGAAGAAGAAACACCGGCACAGACACAAATTTTCGGCGCTTCGCGCGTGTCTCTTGGATCGGCGCTGAGACCCCCCTCCCAGGCGCGCGGAGCGCACTAGGGGCAGCGCTGGAGGCGCCTGGAGGGGTCAGCGCCGATCCGAAGAAGCCGGCGCGGTCGTCTTCGTCGTCGACGTCGTGGTCGTCGTCGTCGTCGTCGTCGTCGTCGTCGCCGCCGTCGTCGTCGTCGTCGTCGTCGTCGTCGTCGTCGTCGTCGTCGTCGTCGTCGTCGTCGTCGTCGTCGTCGTCGTGGTCGTCGCCGTCGTCGTCGAGGTTGTGGTGGTGGTGATTGTCGTGGTCGTGGTCATTGTCGTCGTCGTGGTGGTCGTCGTGGTGGTGGTGATCGTGATTGTGGTCATCGTCGTTGTCTTCGTCGTGGTGGTGGTGGTGGTGCTCGTCGTCGTCGTCGTCGTTCCTCGTGAAGGTGGTGGTGGTGGTGGTCGTCGTCGTGGTCCTGGTCGCCGTCGTCGTCGTCGTCGTCGTCGTGGTGGTGGTGGTGTGGTGGTCGTCGTCGTCGTCGTCGTCGTCGTCGTGGTCGTCGTCGTGGTCGTCGTCGTCGTCGTCGTCGTCGTCGTCGTCGTCGTCCGAAAGCTTCTGTCTGTGCAGCCGCTTTTTGTTCTTCGGAGCTCCTCGGCGGCCAGGGCGCTGCGCTCGAGCGCCACTGGGGGCGCCCTGCCCAGGGCATCCCCGGCGAGCTGCTCCGCTACCTCCGCGCCTGTGGCGTGGAGGCCGCCGAGGCCGGGAGGCCCGACTATCCCCAGAGGGCCCAGGCCTCCCAACAGAGGAGGCTCAGAGGAGGGACAGGTGCTCCTGCCGCTACCCTTCGCCCGTTTTCCCCTTTCTGGGCCTCCTGGGAGGCCCTCGTCGCCACCGCTGGATGCGCCTCGAAATCCTGGTCAGAGTGCGCCCCGGGGGGAGGCCCAGGGAGTAGCGGTATCGGTGCCTTCTGCTCTCCCCACTCCCGACAGAGGAGGCCTGCGCTCCGGAGCGCAGAGCCTCCACCCCGTAGGTCGAGGCCCTCGGGGAGCCCCGGGCGGAGAGCGGCAGCGTCTGGGGGCAGGGGGGGCGCGGGCTCGAGTTCTCCGGGGCACTCTCGGGCGCTCTCGTCTGCTCTCGGCGGCGTTGTCCAGCTTCGGGAGGCCTTCGGCGGCTGCGCCGCGCCGAGGGCCTTCGGGAACGGCCGCCAGGGAGCCGAGTTGTGCCCCGAGAGCTGTCCGGGGGGTCCCCAGACGGTGGCGGTGCCACACACCGCGTGGTGAATCCGTGAAGGGTTGGGGCGAGGCTCGGGCCGTTCGCCGAGGACATCTCTCGGAGGAGGATAAATGCGTTGCAGGGCGTTCCGGAAAGCCCTGAGAGCGTCCCGGAACACTCTGAGAAGGCCGCGGCGCCCGAGACATTCTCCAGAGCCGCCAGATCTCAGAGATCAGCGACTTATCCCCACCCAAATTCCTCCTCGCCCGAGCTTCGTCTTAGACTCGGGCGGCTGGGGCCTCCAGGGCCCAGGGGCCGTGCGTCGACGAGCCGCACTGTGAGGCCTCCTTTTGGGGATGCCGAGGCCACCGCACTGGGCCTGCCATCGCGCCGCTGCGGGACGCCCAAGAGAAGCCCCCGCAGGAGGAGGAGGAGGAGGAGGAGGAGGAGGAGGAGGAGGAGGAGGAGGAGGAGGAGGAGGATCAGGAGGAGGAGGAGGAGGAGGAGGAGGAGGAGGAGGAGGAGGAGGGAGGAGGCGGAGGAGGCGGAGGAGGAGGAGGAGGAGGAGGCCTCCCACCGCCGGCGCTTCGCACCTCGGGGATCGACGTTCGATGCATGCCCGCGCTGCTGCCCCGACCTCCGCCCGCCAGGGGGACAGGGCAGGGACTTTTACAGTCGGACCGGGATATAAGATCATGGTGGATTCGTGGAGGTACCCTAATGTTTTGTTCGTGTTTGTGGGGTGTTCCTGTGCATCCTGGGGAGGGCACCCTTGGATGCTCTGTGTGTTTTTGCCGGCGGAGAGTCTCATGTTCTTGGGGGATGTTATTCTTGCTTAGGTCCATTTGTAACCATGCCCCAGCTCCGCCCCCTCGTAGAATCCTTCTAGGCCTCCCCCATGGGGTCCGATCAGATGGGGTCGAAGGACGCTCAGAATCGACGATGCATCGGCGATGCGGCTCCTCGATGTGGATCCCGATTTCCTCCACGTTGCCGTCGCCGATGCATCGTCGATGTGGCCCGCTCCTCCGACCCCACTTGCTCGGATCCGACTCTGGAGGCCTCTGATTCCTGGTGTGCGCGGAGGTGTGGAGAGAGCGTCGATCCCCCCCAGGCCGTCTGAGAAGCTTCCTAAGCCTTCCCCGAAGACACCGAAAACCTGTCAGAATGCGAGGCCTTCTGAGAAGCCCCGCCGCATTCTGAGAAGGCCTTCTCCTTCTCCCTTCCCCCCTCACTCGCCGCCGATGAGCGTCGATCGCCGAGAAGCATGGGGAAGCCACAAGGTACGGATACCGCTACTCCCCCGACCTCTCCCAGGGTGCGTTCTGACCAGACTGTCGAGGCGAATCCAGAGGTGGCGACGAGGGCCTCCCAGGAGGCCCAGAGAGGCGAAAACGAGGGAAGGGTAGCGGTATGGGTACCCCCTTACCCGGGATTTGTTTTTCATTTTGGGCCGCTTTTGACGGTCCCGAGGCCCGGCAAGGGCCCCCAGAGGCCGAATATGGCGAAAGACCTCCCGTCCTCGTCCTGACGTTCTCACAACGCGAGGAGGTCTGGGTGTGCCAGTCCCCCACCACCTCCTCCTCCTCCTCCTCCTCCTCCTCCTCCTCCTCCTCCTCCTCCTCCTCCTCCTCCTCCTAGGCATCCCAGATGCGGTCGGAGTGGATGGGGTCGGAGGATCGCGCCGCATCGCCGATGCATCGCCGATGCGGCTCGATGCGGAGCCCGATTTGCTTCACGCCGCCGCCGCCGATGCACCGCCGACGTCGACGATGCCTCGCTGGTGCACCGCCGATGCATCGCCCATGTATGGGCGATGTGGCGCGATCCTCCGACCCCATCCACTCCGCCCCCATCCAGGAGGCCTCTATGTATCGTTGCCCTCCCCCCGGTCGTGCCAGCCCCCCTGTGCGGCCCTCCTCGAGAGGCCCTCCTCGTCGGGAGGCCCTGGGGGGCGGCCTCGGGCCGTGGGCTCCTCCTCGAGCTGCTCGGCGGGGGCCCGGGCGCGGCCGGCGCGGAGGCGGACCGCTCGGACGCGCGGCTCCTGGCGCAGGCCCTCGCCCCGACGCGCTGACCGCCGCCTCTCCCGGCAGTTCGGCGGCGAGGCCCGGGCCGCACGCGCACCCCGGCGAGGGGAGGAGGGCGGAGCAGGTCCGGGGAGGACAAGAGTTGGTGCCCGTGCCGCTGCCCTCCGGCCGTGTGCCCCCCCCTGTTTCTCTGGGCCTCCGGTAATCAGGAGGCCCTCGTCGCCGCCGCTGGATTCGCCTCGAGAGAGAGTCTGGTCAGGGAGGCGCAAACTCCGGGGGGGGGTCGGGGGAGTAGCGGTACCTGTACCTGTCGGTTCCCCGATGCTCCTCGGCGATGGACGCTCTTCGGTGGCGAAGGCCGACCCGCACACGCACCCCGCCGAGGAGGGGAGCGGAGCAGGAGGTGCGGCGAGCAGGCTTTGGAGCCCACTGTTTCTAGGCCTCCTGGATGGGGTCGGAGGAGCGCGCCGCATCGCCATAGTGCCTCGGCGTGGCGGCTGGACGTGGAGGCCGTTTTGCTTCGCATCGGCGTCTCCGGTGCATCGCCGATGCATCGCCAGTGCATCGCCGATGCATCGCCGATGTATCGCCGATGTGGCGCGAGCCTCCGACCCCGTCTATTCCAACTCCATTTAGGAGGCCTCTGGTTCAGCGAGCAGGTTTTTGGCCCGCTTCTTCGGGCCCTGGGAGCTGCAAGATCGGGTCCAGGGGTGGAAGACTGCACCAGTCAGCCACGCGCAGAGGGGGGTAGGGGAGGAGGGGGGCGGGAAGGCTTCTTAGAAGCATCCCTGCTTTTTAGAAGGCGCGGGCCTGGTCTGTAGAGGTGAGGCCCGCGCCTTCTCAGAAGCAGGGGTGCTGCTAAGAAGCCTTCCCCCCCTCCACCCTGCCCCCCCTCTGCGCGCCGCCAGACCAGGGGGACCCCAGGAGGGGTCCGGGGACCGATTTTCAGCGGATTTGGCCTCGTCGCCCGACCCTCGCCGATCAACGATTGGGCGGCGGGGGGGGGGGGCGGAGTTCGTCGCACACGTGGCGAAAGCCGAGCCCTAACCCCGCCCCATCGATTCAGGATGCGTCATTGATGGTTGGCAGGGGGTAACGTTCGGATGTCGCCACCTTGAAGAGTCACTTGACTCCGAATCCGCCGTGCTTTGATTGATCTTCCCATTAAGCGTGGTGTCGGAAATACACCCAAACGATGCGATGCGAAGATGTACGTTGGATATTTCGGCCTCGTGGAAGTAGGGCTACTCGTTTCGCAGAAATACGGCGGAAATAACGACGGCAAAGTAGAGCGGGAATCGACATCGAAGGAGCCTGAAAAGTAGGGCGGACATTTCCGCCATTTACGAAGTCGCCCAAATTACGGTGGATTTGGAGTCAGGATCGCGTTTGGGGACCTTCCAGGGGCCCACCTCACAGTTCTATTGCGACACCTGTTCGGCTCTAGCTCGACGCTAGCTCGACTCAAGTTCGACTCAAGTCGACGAACGCTGGACGCAGCATCGAGGCATGAGTGGAGCGAGTGGTTCCAGGAAGGTCCCCAAGCGAGCATCTACCCTCCTCTGTCGGAGGACGCCAACTACCTAGGCGGATCCAGGCGGTCAAGACGCTGAAATAAGAATCACTTCGGGGGCAACATCACGGGGGGGAAAGGCTTCGAGGTCTGAGGTTTGAGGACGTTTTCGCCTGCTCTCGGCGAGTGTTCATCCTCGGGATGCTCTCCGGCAGCTGCGCCTCGCCGAGAGCGTTCTGGGGGTGCCCGGGTCGGCCGCCGGAGAGCCGAGTTATGGCTCGAAAGCCACGGGCGACGGTAGGGAGGGGAAGGCTCATGGGCGGGTGCATCGACCCCCCATCGCCCACCAGGGTCTTTTGATTCCCCCCCCGCCCAGAAGGTGCGGATTCGCTGCCGGAGGCCTATCGCGGATCCATCGGCGATGTACAGTGGAAACCCATGCCAAGAAACATTTTGCTTGCCTCTAGGGTGCCCTGGGTTCTGACGTTTCGATGGTTTTGCTGGGGAGAGCGTGGCTTTCCCATACAAATCAATCGACGTCCTGGTGTCTCAGGGTTGGGATTCTTGTTGAAGGCTTCTTGTGGTTGAGCTTCTACTGTAGATTCGGTTTCGGATTCCGATTCGGCTTCCAATCTCTCAACGGAGGCCTTGCAGCCTGCCGATTTCCGCCGATCCGATGTTTCCCGACGTGGCTGCCGAGTTCTGCCAATCCGATTCACGTCGATCGCCGATCCGACATAGCGATTCGATTCGATTCTGGGCTCGATTCTTCCAGAAAGCATTCATTATATCGAGACACAAACAGCGGCATAGGCTTCTTGTGGTCGAGCTCCTAGTGTATCGTCGATTCCAGGTTGATGCTTCCTCCTTGAGTCGGTCCCCCCCCGCTCGTTTCCCGCATCGAAGGGCTCAGGAGGAGGAGGAGGAGGAGGAGGAGGAGGAGGAGGAGGAGGGGGAGGGGGAGGGGGGAGGGGGAGGGGGGGGGAGGAGGAGGAGGAGGAGGAGGAGGAAGAAGAAGAAGAAGAAGAAGAAGAAGAGGAAGAAGAAGAAGACGAATACGAATACGAAGACGAATAAGAATAATAATAATAAGAACAATCATAAGAATACGAATCATAATAATAATAGTAAGAATAAGAACAATAATAATATGCATAATAACACTAAGGAGACGATTACTAATACTAATAAGAATATTACTGATACTAATAATAACACTAAGAAGAATAGGAACACGAATAATAATATTATTATTATTAAGAATAATCATGATACGAATAAGAAGAAGACGAATCATACTAATACTACGAATAATAGTAATAATACTATTATTAATAATAATACTAATACTAATAATACTAATAATAATAATATTAATAATAATAATAATAATAATAATAACAATACTACTAATAATAAGACGAATAAGAATACTACTTATATGAATCATCATAATACTGAGAATAATAATACTAATAATAATATAATAATAACAATAGTAGTGCTACTAATTATAATGATACAACACAGAAGGACAACACTAATACTAATAATAACAACAAGACTACGAATACTCAGAAGAAGAATACGAATACGAATAAAAAGAGGAGGAGGAGGAGGAGGAGGAGGAGGAGGAGGAGCAGGAGCAGGAGCAGGAGCAGGAGCAGGAGCAGGAGCAGGAGGAGGAGG